CCTATAAGCAAGCTTCTTTTTTTCCTTAATGGGAAGATGTCATGAATAATAAGTTTAAGGCTTTTAAACGCAACAACACCTGGTCTGTAGTTGAGCTCCCTCCTAACAAGAAAACCATAGGCTGCAAGTAGGTACACAAAATAAGAGAAAATCAGATGGTTATGTTAATCGATACAAAGCACGCCTTGTTGCTAAAGGCTACAGTCAATGCAAAGGAATTGACTACTTTTAAACTTTTTCACCTGTTGCAAAGATGACTACAGTTCGGATACTACTTGCCGTTGCAGTGGCTAAGGGCTGTCACCTAGAATAATTAGATGTAGATAATGCTTTTTTACATGGCGAATTACATGAAGAAGTTTTTATATCTTTCCCTCTTGGTATTCAATGTTCAATTCGTAATGTTGTTTGCAAGCTACACAAATGCTTATATGTATTAAAGCAAGCAAGCCATCAATGGAATGAGAAAATTGTTCGCTGTCTACGTTCTCTATGATATGTTTAGTCAGTTCCAGATCACTCATTATTCGTTCTTCAGAATTCACACTCTTTCACAACATTGTTGGTGTATGTTGATGCTTTAGTTGTAACTGGAAATGATGCTACTGAAATCCGACCTCGAGCTACCAGGTTCGAATGGCAATGAACATGGACTCCAAGAAAAAAGGATAGTTCTGTCAGAGCAACTGACAAGATCATCAAACGACATCTGATGTGAAGTCAAATCGTTGAAGGGGGTAAAAGTGGTCTTAGACCTCGAAAAACCTAATTCAGAGGATGAACTAGAAGAGCTATCACTAAGCCCGAGGGGAGGGATCCAATCTAGAATGGATATCGGGCCAGGAGCAACCTGAGATGGGGGAAAATGTAAGACAAAGGAAATGGATCAGGAGAGGAGCTCGACCCAGGAGGAACTACAGGATTCGAGACCGAAGGGGATTCACCCCTACCAAAATTGAGTTGAGTTTGACGTTCCCTTCTCCCTCTCCGACCTCTCCCTCTCCTGCCGCGTCTACCTCGGGAACTCCGGCGACTTCCTCGAGGATCCCGAAGAAGCTGTTGAAGCTTCTCCTCCTCAGTGTATTCCTTACCATAGAACCAATATTAGACTGCCCATGGTAACTGCTTTACCACCTCTTCATCCTCCTCACCACCTCGTCCAACAGTCATACCAGAAAAACCAGGAACACTCATTATCCATTCCAGAAAAGGAAACAAGAGGAAGATGTCTCCCTTGAAACACCCAACTAGGGATGAGGCAAAGGGACTTAACTCAATATCCCTCCTCATTAAGAAATAAAACAAATTCTTAATACGAAGAAGCAAATGGAGAAAGAAAATTGAAGGAGGAAGAAGTACCTGGTTTAAAGGAAACAAAGAAAGGATAAGCAGACTCAGAACTCAGAAGTCCTCGACGATCCTGATTAAAGACGATAGTGAAGAAACTCGAAGACAAAACACGTCCGAGGTGAAGTCAAAGGGGGAGAGGAAGTGCACAGAAAAGGAAAATGCAGAACGAAATGAAAATTGCAAATGATGTGAGAAGAAGAATTTAAAGCAAAAACCTATTCTACGCGCGAAGATGAAAGGGTTGCAAACAGTTAAGCAACCAGGGATAGAATATCACTCTGCACACATTAAATGCATGTAATCATCACGTACACAGGTACAGAATGACTCACTGCCCACGACGCGTAAACTCCCAATAGCCATAAGACACATGGAGTTCATAACCGTCAAGGTTAAGTAAAAGGTCACACTGAAATGGCAAGGGTCAGGCAAAATCTTATCCACGACATGATGACCGAGATCTATACCACGGCCTAATACGATAGAGAAGATTTTGCCAAAAGCAGCAGAAAATTCGAAATTGCTCATAAAGGGAACATAACATTGTCGACATGGCAGATATCGAGGTTATGTTCCATTTACCGACTAAAGTAGGAAATACTTCGGCAACACCTCGGCATAAGCAAGTCCGAGATAACACGCAAATACCCCGGCATTCCGAGCTTCGGAATACCGAGTTGGGGGCAATTGTTATGGATATATACCATATCCTAACTACCTACTTAAGTATCCACTAAGAGATAAATACTCAATTATCCTAACAATATTAAACAAGATACTTGGGTTGGAATCATTATCTCAACTGCAAGGAAGTTGAATCCTTCTGCAACTGAGAGATCTACATAAACCCTAGAAGTAATCCTTATAAACAAGAGGATAAAGATCTAGGTACACACTTTTTGACATATTTACTATTGTTGCCAATGCTGTGTACACACCTACGTGTTGGCTATAAACTTAATGTTTGTGCACAATGATTGAAATACTAGATATAAGCCAATTATAGCACTTACTTCTGAGCGTATGTCATTCGGTGTAGTAATATAGTTTTTTGGGACCTAACAATCATATATAAGCACGATAACTGTGCAGAAAGCACAAGCACCATCCCTATGACCCCATCTCGTGAGGGAGGTAGGAAATTATTCACCTTCCGTACCTTGTCGTCCGGATTTAGACCTCTTTGTTTTCCGCTAACAAATATAATTCGAATCAGCGTCAACGATTCAGTATGGAGGGAACTCAGCTGAGCTGACTAAAACAACACCACGACGGGGCACTTTGATAATTTAACAGGGGTAGCTTGCTGCTTTGCCGCTTCAGGGGGTGCAAGTGCCACGTGTGTCTGCTTTGCGCGATGCTCAAGCACGTGATCAAGCCCTAGCGACGTGTCGAAGGATTAACATAAAAAATGACTGAACCGGTGGAGTGAGGAGAGGAACCAAAAAGATTTTTTAATTTTTTTTTTTTTAAAAAGTGACTCAGTGAGTACTGAGTACCCTTATTTACAGCTGTCCCCACGCAACGGTTTCAATGCTGCCAAAGTACAATTCTCCGTATCCCTTTTCTCGTTTTGGAAAAAGAATGCTTTCGCATCCATTTCACTAATAATGTCATAGTTTGCTTTCAGTGAATACAGCTGCAAAGCAAAATACGAATCCAAAATGATCGTTAGTGTGACCGTCGAACTCTTTCATTTAACAGTCCATTTCTAATTCTACCGCTTCCAATATCTCCCTTAATTCTACCCAGCCAGAAAATATGCTGCTCCTTGATTTAGGGTGCATTTTTTTTTAGATTAAACTTTTTAATTATTTTTAAATTATTGTTTTTATGTTTTGAAAAAATACTGCAATAATTTTTTTTAAAAAAAAAACTTATTTACTCATTGTGTATTTTAAAAGTTATTTGGTTAAACAATTTTTTCTAAAAAAAAAGAAAGGAACCTTTCATTTTCCCAATGTTAATCAATTACCAGGTGAAGCTGCTTTAATTTTATTTTTTATTTACAAGACAGGTCAAGGGCCAAAGAAACAAAAAAGAAAACTGATCTTTAATTATTAACAAAAGTTAAGGGTACGAAAGGCGGAAAGGGTTATATTAAATTGAGAAAATGTAGACCTGATTTTTTTTTTTCTTTGGTGTGTGCAGTGCAGTGTAGAGAGACATAAACTTAAGAAGGAAGAGGTCCACTCGGCAGGTAGTATACGTACGACGTACGAGTAACAGATATGGATACGGATCTGTTTGATCATAATAGTGATATCTTTTCTTTCCCATTTGAATACCCCATCCTACCCGACAACCTTCTGTCTCGCCCTTTTCCCATACCTTTCTTTAATCCATCCCCTAATCCTCCACTTTCATTTTATTAATTAATTAATCTTTTTTTTTTTTTTTAAAAAATATTTTGTTCCTGACAAATACGTGGGCTTTATAATATTATAGTTTTTAAAACTAAAATGAATTAAAGAAATGCAACTATGCAAAGATTAGAGAGTTTTAAGAACAGGAGCTGAAGGGCATAACAAGGGTTGAGGAAGATGAGAGGAAAGTGCCTTGGCCTTGGGGATTGTGAGATAACCGGCTCCGTACAGGACTGCAGGGTGTTATTTGAAAGAGGGAATGCAAGTAACCGGCACGTGTGGGTGGGTGGGTGTAGAGAGAGAGAATAGGCCGTTATAGATGATATGGTGGTGGGGGTGGCAGGTATAGAATACAGGCTGGACTGACAGAAAAGCAGTAATGATTCGCCCTCCGATTCGGCGACCGATCTTGTCGTTTTCTTCCAGCTCAGACTACCGGTGGGTCCCCACTCTTATTTTTCCAAGAAAAGGACGAAACTTAAAAATCCCACACGAAATGCTCTACAGCCTGGAGTCCTCAGTCAAACTGAAACCAAAGCAGAAGGAACCTCACCCAACCCCAACCCAACCGTTATCATCGTTATCTTATTTTTTCCTTTCCGTTTTTGTTCTCTCTTTTTCTTTTAAATGCTATTTTAACGTGAAAATTCTGGTTCTCAGCCTCTCCTTTGTCTATATTAACTTCCAGAACTGTTCCATTCACATAACTATCCCACAACCTCATCCCATCCCGTGAAATGCACTTTCCCCTTGCGTTCAAACTTAAAACACAACCCCCCTCCCCTTTACTTATTATTTTTTAATAAAAACAAACTTAATCCTTTTTCACTGATATTTATTACTCTAAATATTATACGTCAAGTTTTATACAAGAAAAGAAAAAATCTTGAGGTGATGCAATAATAATACAAGTAAACAGTAAGGTGAAGGCTCTCATCCCCAGGTCGAAAGCAAGGCAAGGGCGGAGGCTATAATTAAGTGGAGCGTAGTTGTGTGTAATAGACGCGCTCTTGCATGGGGGGAAATAGTTTAGTTGTATTTTAATTGAGTTTGATATTAATTTGAAATGATAAGACGAAAGGAGGGAGGGTGACTTGTGTAAATGGGAGAAGCTGAAGAGTGACGCGTGTCCTTTGACAGCTGTATCCCAAATCCCAAGCCAACCGCTTCCCTGGAAGAAGCGGTACCGATTGCCCATAACGCTCGCTGACAAATCCAAAACCTAACTTGCCCAACCGGTGTCCTCTTACCCTATCCCTCTCAGATATAAGCAACCCTAGCACCACCAAACCAAACCAATGCTTCACCATCGATAAAACATAGGAGCTTCTTCTTCCTCTTCTTCTCACTATTCTCCAGTCACAGCTCACAACCCTTACCTTTCATAATTTATTATTTATTTAGCATCCTTTGAAATCTTCTCAAGGGAGGAGATGAACTCAGCCGTCACCAGAAAAGACATGGATCGGATCAAGGGTCCATGGAGCCCCGAAGAGGACGAGGCTCTGCAGAAGCTCGTGGAGAAGCACGGGCCCAGGAATTGGTCCCTGATAAGCAAGTCCATTCCGGGTCGCTCCGGCAAGTCCTGCAGGCTCCGCTGGTGCAATCAGCTATCTCCTCAGGTGGAGCACCGGGCCTTCACGCCAGAAGAGGACGACACTATAATCAGGGCCCATGCCCGTTTCGGCAACAAGTGGGCCACCATAGCCCGTCTCCTCTCGGGCCGAACCGACAACGCCATAAAGAACCACTGGAACTCCACCCTGAAGCGCAAGTGCGCTTCCATGATGATCGATGACCTTCAGCCTCTGAAGAGATCCGTGAGTGCAGGCGCTGCTCTTCCGATCTCCACCGGACTCTACATGAACCCGTCAACGCCCGGTAGCCCCTCTGGATCCGATATGAGCGAGTCCAGTGTACCAGTTGCGTCTTCGTCTCACGTGTACCGACCTGTTCCGAGGACCGGCGGGGTTCTACCACCCGTAGAAACGACGTCGTCTTCCAATGACCCTCCCACTTCATTATCCCTATCCCTTCCCGGCGTAGACTCTTCGGAGGTCTCGAATCGGGTAATCGAGCCAACTCATGCCCCGCCCCCACCATCAAATACTATCCCTTTCATGCCGATAATGGCGGCGCCGATGGCGGTGCCGGTGCCACAGCAGTTTCACGATCCCTCGGGATCGAAGCAGAAGGGGTTAGAGCCGTTTAATTTTAGTGCAGAGTTGCTGGGTGTGATGCATGATATGATAAGAAAGGAGGTGAGGAGTTATATGGCGGGGTTGGAACAGCAGAAGGGGATGTGTTTTCAGGCAGCTGATGATGGGTTTAGAAACGCTTCCGTGAAGCGTATTGGGATTAGCAGGGTCGATTCGTAAATATTATCAGAATGGAAAGAACACATGTAGGGATGAGAAAATGATGGCGCTTTCAGCTGGAGAAAAATATGAAGCTAAAATTCCCTGTTTTTTTAATTTTCCCCTTGTTTTTAGGCAATAATTTTGGTTAATGTACAGTGGGAGAACTTGTTTCCAAGGGAGATGGGTGGGGGAGTGGAGGGATAGCATCGGGGAAATGGAATTCATTTCTAAGAAGACGAAGGAAGGAAAAATGAGATAGATGATAGCCATGGAAAAAATATGAAACTTCTGGCAACTCTTTTAATGTCTCTTGGTCTTGTTCTGCAGGCTTAGTTGGAAAAGAAAAAGAAAAATGAAAAAAAGTCTAGAATAAAAAAAATCCTCAAAATCTCGATATAATTTTGACTCTATTTTCATGGTTTGCACAGGCGTAAATTTCAATTCGTTTAGATTCCAATCCAAAATCAGGCGAAGTAGTCTTTTACACGACGGGGTAACCGAGTTACCTAATTTGAAAGTAGTTAAATTAGTTTAAAAAGGGAAATATCACTGAATCGATGTTAGTTTTAGTTGAATATGCTGTTTGTATAGGTGTAACCAAAGTATTCCCCCTTGTGCCGATTAAAGATAAAACTAATATTTCTATTATCAATGGTTTAGCAGAACTGGAGGATATGAACCGCGAAGATGGAATCTGTCATGTATCAAGTTTTGAAATGTTAGGCATGTAATCACTTTAAATGTATTAGTTATCTTGGGTGAAAAGCCTATAATTACTCTCAGATGGTTAGTTTAAAAATCCTGAAAAATTGGTTATAGCGGTTTCAATAGCCCCTTGGTCTCTTGGTCTGATTTTTTGGAAGCTAGTCGCTTGGTTTCCACAGTTTTGGATCTCTGATAGTTTTTTTCGTTTCCAAAGACCCGAGAAAAAGATAAAAGTGGCTTCAAAGATGTATGAGTTGGGCCAATATTTTCGACCTAAACTTAAATGTATATATAAATTGCTGAGACGATTCTAAACCGCAAGTTTCTTTCGAGACAGTATTTTTTATTTTTTTATACTAATGAAAAGTTAAAAACAAGGAGAAAGGCGAACTACAAATGATCAGCCTGGGGAAGGCAACTCCCTGTAAGTCATTCTGCCCTAGAGGAAGGCAACCCTGAGGAGGTTCTCTAAATTCTTCAATGGACCAGCCATATCTCCTATAATTTGCAAAATACATTGATCTTATTTTATTTTTAAATATTAAACAAGATAATGAATTAATGTAAAATTAATGAAACATGATATTCAATTTAGTTTAAAATTCATTGGGGTGAATAACGAAGTGAATGGTGTTGATTCCTCGAATCATATTGTAACTAAAATTGTGTTTGTGTTAGAAGGGAAAAGAGAGAGAAGATTGATTGTTAACTCATTGAGTAAAATGGATACTGGAGAGAATATAGTTTGCAAAAACCCACCTAGCACTAGCTTTTGGTATGCGTATCTGTTAAAAACGTAGTAGGGAGAATAATGGAATAATTGATAAACTGGGGAGAAATTTCAAAAAAATATAAAAAATTGCCATGGGAAGTTCACACTAACGGATTAAGGAATAAATAGCGTAAGTAACGGTTAAACTTCATAAGCCCCCTTTAATTAACCTTAAAGATTAAGGTTACGTTTCCCTTGCACTCCCGGTAGTTCTTCTTGGGCTGTCATTTTTTTGGTACAATAAAGGGGAAAAGCCCCAAGAAAACAAAACAAAGACAGAGAGAGAAAAAAGAAAATTAAAATCAGTATGGAGCCCTAATGCAGATCCTAGCAGCAGCCCTTGCTTCGGAGTAGAGTAGCTTCAACAGATCCACAGGAGGAGAATAGCAAAAATTCCTGCCACTTTGCCATATACACCTATAGAACTTATATTTTTTCACGCATTTTGTGAATTATTTTAAATTTTATATATCGTTTAAATTTTTTAGAGTTATCAAAAAGAAGAAACATATTATTTAAATTCATTTTTCACGACGAGATAACGTTTTTTATAACATGAAAACAGATGTGCTTTTATAACTCTTTGTCTTTTTATTTTACAATTTTATTGATGATTTTAATTCAATCTTAATTATATTTTAGCACACTTTCATTCAAGCTTTAAATAATTTTTAAAAAAATTATAAATAACACGATCTATGCATTAATCATTTTATATGCTTCATCATTTAATTATTTAAATTAATTCATTCTCCAGTAGGGATTAATAATTAGTATTGTCATTAGATAGTTTTAAAATTTTAATACTTAATATTTTAGTTGTATGGAATTAATTAATATTTTTAATACATTTGCACCTAATAATATTTTGACTCATCAATTTTTATTTTATTTATGCCAGTAAATCAGTATTTGTACTAATATTGCATTTAATATATATATATATATATATGAGTTTTACATTTCTGCAGCTGGTGTACGTGCAGCAGTCAAATATTTGTCATATATATACGTGAAAGTATTAAATGTGGGGAATCATAACCATACAAAAGATGAAAGTATTAAATGTGGGGAATCATAACCATACACCTGTCGTTGCTGTACGTAAAGCGGCTGCAGAATGGATTTTACCTATATATATATTAGTCCAATCATTATATGGAAATAATAATAATGATTAAGATTAAGTGTAAAGGTTTTTCTTCTCACATTGGTATAAATTAATCATTTCCCACGTTTGTAAATTTTAGAGTGTTAAAAATTATTTTGAAAATAAATATTTCTTTATTAAGAATTATTAAATAACATTACCAATAATCCTTGCCAAATTAAGTTATATATATAAAGTAAGTTACGGATGCATTGCAAGGGTGTTCATTAACCAATTCAAACCACGGTGACTGAACCAAAAAATCGATAACCAAATTAATCGAAAATTGAAAAATTAAAAGCCAAAAAACAACCACATATTTTAATTGGATTGGACCAATTTTCGGTTTGTTTGGTGAAAACCAATCCAATCCAAATCGATCCAATGTATTATGTATTTATTATTTTTAAAAGGTTGTAGACTTGGAATCTTAGATGTTATTGATAGCAAACTATCTTGTTTTAGTTTTTTATTGTCTAGTAATCTATTTTAGCTCTTCATGAGTTCTAAGACTTTTTTTAGTTTGAAAACTTGAATTTTTCGATGGTTTGTAATTTTGAATGACTTTATTATGAAATATATAGTGTTTTGTATGACTGAAGTTTAATTTTTGGCTTTTCGAAAAAACGAAAATTGATCAAATCCAAACCAAAAAAAATTGGGCGAGATTGGATCATATTTACAAAAATAAAAAAACCCCGAATGGATTATTAAATGATCAAATTGAAGTAATTGGATCAGATGATTTTTTTTTTCAAAATCGATCCAATCCAGACCGCGAATACCCTTAATTGCACTGATTTTTTATTCAATAAATAAATATTTATATGTTTAATTTAATTACAAAATTTTAGAAGCAATATATTTAAAAGATAATATTGGCTAAAAGAATAGGTGTAAAACAAATCAATATGAGTTTACTTATTATCTAATAAAGTTTGTTTACCAAAATAAAATTAATAAATAAAGGGCTTACCAAATTATTTTTTAATGATCATACAAAAAAACACTATTGTTTTTATATACACGTGATTAATTATATTTATTTTAAAATGTTAAAGTGAATTTTTTTGGACGTAATTCTTTTTGTAATTGTTATTATTTTGTTTCTTTTTTAATATACTTTTCTAACTTAATCTGAATCATATTGTGATAAATTTTATTTTGCATCTTTAAATTGATTATTCTACAAAATAATTAATTTATCCTTTTTACTATTTTTTGTAAAATTTACTTTCTATCTCAGCTATTCATTAAAATATATATTAATTTAAATAAACTTCAACTGTCAAATGGACAAAAATCAATGGCTGAAATAGAAGTAAAACTTCTTAATTTTTTTTTGGTAATTAACAGAAATAATAACCGTTGATTGAAATAAATTAATATTTAGAATTTGGTGTCAAATTTTAAAGTTTGACACTGGTGTCAAAGGATTTGAAGGATTTTGCCTCAAATCCTTTGACATCAAATCCTAACCTTTGGTTTCTGTCAATTAACGGTTATTTTTTATTGGGAATCAATATTTAATTAATAAGTTTGATTCCCCATAAATGAGAACCGTTGATTGGTGAAAATCAACCGTTAGGATTTGGTATCAAATTTGAAAGTTTGACACCGATGTCAAAAGAATCCTATCCAAGGTTGTTGAATCACAATACGTATCTAATCAAAAGATACATAAATATAATAAAACATTTAAAAATTTATAATATAATTAATATCATATAAATTCAAATTTCAAAAAGGATCCAATAAGAAAAATATATAAGTAATTAAAGTGCAAACCAGTTTTTCTCCTACTCATCAATCATTAAGACAATGGGTGCCAACGAGTTGAGCCGGGCCATATTTTGATCTTAAAAGGCCAAGCTTGTGTTTAAATATGCCAGTCTCACCTAGATTATTACCTGTTATGAATATAATTATTGCCTTGTGGCCTGTCTTATTTACGAAGAATAAAAGTCTGGTTTAGCCAATTAAAAAAATAAGACATAAAAAATTTATCCAAATAGAATATATGATCAACAACACTAATAATTCCATAAATAGTCATAAATTCATTGTATATTTAAATTTCATAACATAGAACAAAATCATTCAAATAGTTTGTTTAACCAATAAAATATGGTGAAATAAGTTGAGAAGAGAGAGAGTTATTATGAGTAGTATAAAAAATAAAAAATAAAAAATAAAAGTTAGTATAATAGGCCAGCCTGAGAGGCTCTAAGGCCGGGCTTTTGAAATGGAGCTTGAGACCTTTTTATTAAACGATTTTTTATACAAGTCTAATCTAGATTCAAACAACCAATTTTAGACATGTAAGCTCAAACCTTTACGAGCCGCGCCAAAGGTCCCTGATTCGTTTACCACCCCCCAATTAAGACTAATATATCACTATCAGTCTATTAGTAACAAAATTTATCCATCATTCTCTTCCAAAAAGGATCATTCTATGTTTTTTTTAATTTAAATCGCAAATCAAATCATTATTTTTTTATATTTAAAATTATAAATTTTGATTTAATTTTTGTATCGTATGATATACGTATCGTATCGTCAGATACAATATTGTATCGTTCGCTACAAACCCCTTTATGATACACCTAATAATAAGTATAGCTGAGCTTGTGAATCGTATCTTGTATTGTAAGATACTGATGACTATGATCCTATCCCTATCCACACTGATAACTATGATCCTATCCCTATATTATATCGTATCGTGAATCGTATCGTGTATTGCACGATACAGAGAGCTGTTGTTTGTAGCTGAGACAACAAAGTGAGCTCTATTGTTTTTTTTAAAGCCTGGATCCGCATGCGTATCCTAGCACTGCTATATATGTAGTAATTGCAGAAATGATTTTGTCATATATATGTATATATATATATATATATATATATATATATATATATATATATATGGCTTATCGTTTCTCAAGTTATTGGAGATAAATTTATCTCCGGCCACTAAATCATAACCGTACAAAGATGGATCAATAGTGATAAAGGAAGAGAGAGAAAAAAAAAAATTATAACCATTCAAATGTGAATCAATTAAGATAAAGAAATAAATAAACAAAATGACATAGTTATAGGGTGACCAGAGA